GCAGAGTGGACAGTGAGGGAGAGAGACAGAGAAAGTTCTTCCTTTGCTGTTGGTTCACCTTTCAATGGCCACCACAGCTGGCGCACCGCACTGATTCAAAGCCAGGAGTCAGGTTCTTCTCCTCGTCTCCCATGCGGGTGCAGGGCCCAAGAACTTGGGCCATCCTCCACTGCACTCCTGGGCCACAACAGAGAGCTGGCCTGGAAGAGGGGCAACTGGGACAGAATCTGGTGCCCCGACTGGGACTAGAACCCGGTGTGCCGGCGCCACAGGCAGAGGATTAGCCTATTGAGCCGTGGCACCAGCCCCTTATAGTTACTGTTACTAATGATTTTTCTACCCTTTGATAATTTCTTCTTACTCATTGGTATCTCTTTCAGTTTGAAGAACTACCTATAGCATCTCTTGTAGGACATATCTAGTAATGACAAAATCCCTTTGTTTGTCTGGAATTGTCATTATTTCTACTTCACATTTGAAGGATAGTTTCGCTGGGCACCATATTATTGGCTGGAATTTTTTTTTTCCTTCTGTACTATGAAAGTCCCTTCCCACCATCTTCTGGTATGTAAATATTCATCTGAGAAGTCTGCATTCAGGAAAAAATAGATCATTTGGTAAGTTATTAGTTTCTAGAGCTTTGAGAATTCTTGATTAATCTTTAACCTTGGAAAGATTTTTTATTGATTGATTATAACATGTCTTACCTTAAGCTTGTTTGGGTTGATTCTGACTGGTGACTTTGACTTTCCTGAACCTGTATAGTTGTATCTTTCTCTAGGTTTGGGATGTTTTCTGTTATTATTTTACTGAATATGCTTTCTAACCCTTTGATATTTTCAAATTCCCATTTAATCTCCAAAAATCAGATATTTGCTCTTCTCATGTCGTTCCAATGTTCCTGTAAACTTTCTTAATTTCTCTAATTCTTTTTTCTCCTCCATTTGTGTGTTGTCCATTCTTTCTTCTGTTTGATCTGTTCTGCTATTAATGCTTTCCAGTGTATTTAAATTTACTAGTGTGCTTTTCAAGTGCAGAATTTTTAATTAATTTCTTGCTTTTTAAATATTTATTTATCTGAAAGACTGAGTGATAGAGATAGGGAAAGAGAGCAGGACAGACAGTGAGACAGAGAGTGAGAGAGAGGGGGAAATCTTCCATCCACTGGTTCACTCCCCAAATGGCTGCAACAGCCAGGGCTAGGCCAGACCAAGGTCAAGACCATAAATTTCCATCTGGGTCTCCCACAGGGGTGGCAGGGACCCAAGAACTGATCTCATCTTTTGTTGCTTTCCCAGGCACATTAGCAGGAGCTGCATTAGAAGTAGAACAGCTACTATGCCTGGATCAGTGGCAGCAGCTAAACTCACTATGCTACGCACTGACCTATAATTTATTTTAAGCTAATTACTTACAAATTGTCAAATGTTATTGTTACAGTATTTAACATTTTCTCTGTGTTCTTTTGGAGTTCATTGAGTTTACTAAAAATATTTATTTGAGCTTTGGAAAATTTCAATTCCTAGATGATTGGTTTCTGGTACCTTATTTGGTTCTTCAGATGAGGTTATGGTGCTCTGCAAATTCTGCTTTTCTAAACATTTCTTAACTTATTTGAAAGAAGGAACAATAGTCAGAGAGGGAGAGACAGGGAGAGATATCTTCAATCCACAGATTCACCCCCAAATGCCTGTAACAACCAGGGATGGGCCAAGCTAAATTCAGTAGCCTGTATGCCTCACATGGGTGGCAGAGATCCAGGCACTTGGACTATCTTTTGCTGTTTTCCCAGATGCATTGTGAAGAATTGGATTGGAAACAGAAAAATTGGGATTCAAACCATCACTCTGATATGGGATATTGGTGTTGCAAATGGAGGCTTAACCAGCTATGCTACAATGCCAGCAGCTTCTCTGAAAATTCTTTTTTTTTTTTTTTAAGATTTATTTATTTGAAAGAGTTACAGAAACAGAGAGGGAGAGACAGAGAGAGAGAGAGAGATATCTTCCATCTACTGTTCACTCCCTCACTGGCCCAATGTGGGTACAATGGCCCAATCACTTGGGCCATCTTCTGTGCTTTTTTTGCATATTAGCAGGGAGCTAGATTGGAATTGGAGCAGTGAGACTCCAGCTGGCACCTATATGGGATGCTGTCACTGCACACATGGCTTACTATTGTGTCACAGAGCTGGCACCTTTTCTCTGTAAATTCTTGACATGCATCCCTCTGTGTATTTATGGGTTAGTTATAATAATCTTACTCTATAATCTATAATTTAACTGGATTTGTTTGTGGCTATCCTTCTAGAAATTATAAGCAGTCTATTTCTTTTCTCTGATCCTAGGGACACTTCTTTGTTAGCTCTAGATGGTTTGCCTCAGGTCTGTTGTTGGTGTTTTTACCATTTGAGTCCAAATACTCTTCAAGCTTAATTTGTCCCAGTAGTGTGTTGTTCAAAATGAATTTGGCAAGTTTCTGGATGGACTCACTTCCCAATGACACTTCTAGCAGCCACTGATGATGCTGTCTGGGGTATAATTCTGATCAATTACTATCATGGAATTCAACTTGGCACCAAAGTAGGTCCAGAGGCTTTCTCTAGACAAGCACTGGCCTGGATACAGGGACTTTCAGATTTTTTTTAATTTTTAATTTAATACCAGCCTGGCATCGAATCTCAAAATATTCCTGTGATTTCTTGATGTTTGCCCAAGGTTGTCAGAAAGGTGATAGAGGCGGCTCTTAACTACACAGACACCCTTATTAGCTGCTGTGCAATTTGGGAGTTGACATGAGGCTTGCAATGAATAATGCTGAAGTAAGTCTGTCTCACTAGGATGCAAGTCTCTGCCTAAGACTGGGGAAAGTTTAAAGACTCTGATCACAGGCACTTGTCTAGGGGCTGAGGAGTGTTAGGATGCACCCAGTGTTGAGTTTACCAGACTAGCACTGAATCTCCAGACACAGTCCTGTGGCTCCTTGTTGTCAACACAAGGATGGAGGAAAGGTGATGAATGCAACCTCTTGTCCAACCCAGATCAGCACAGGGCTATGTCAAACCAGCATCTCACAGTGACCAGGCTCTAAGAAGTCTTGCAGATGCATGGCAGTCCAGTTTGACACTGGTGCTGATACATATCAAAATGAGTTTGTACCACCAGAGAGCAGGTGGTACCTGACACTGTGGCAAATCCAGGGTTTCCATCTGTGAGCCCTGGCCTGGGGACAGAGGTCTTGAGTTTTGTCAGGTTCTAGATGTCACAGCAAAAATCTCCAACGTTGAATCTAAGTGAGGTTCTAAGATCCTTTTCCTGTTCTACTTCAAAACAGCTCCACTTTATGTCAAAGGTTTGAGAGCAGTGGCGGAAGCAATCACCTGATTGCCTAGCTATAAAGGGTCCAAAAACTCAATCTGTAAGTTTGAGCCTGGGAGCAAGGGCTGTGAGGCTTTGTACAACTTTGAATTTTATTGCAGTGTACATTACATTGAGATTGAAGTCTAAGAACTGAGCTTAATTGGCTCTCTCTTCCTGAAGTGAGAAGTGTCTCTTTCCACACTGAGCTACTTGGTTTGGTGCAGGGAGGGGTGATGGAAGAAACTCTTCCCTTTCTACTTCATTCAGTGTGAGTCTTCTCATTATTTTTTATAATCAGGTACTGTGGAGTCTCACCTGGCTTCTGTAGCGTCTCTGAGGGTCAGCTGGAGTATGAACAACTGTTCAAGTTGGTGTCTCTGAGGGCAGGTGGTCATCAGAGCATCTTACCCAGCTGCCACTTTGCTTTATTGTCATGTATATAGCTTGTTTAAAATGGTGCCTACTTCTCTTTCCCTATTATTCTAATTTCATTTTACCTCACTCTATTATTGGCATAGTGTTACTACTAATTAGCATCATATGACATTATTTTCTTGATTCATTCTTTACAACTATACTCCACAAAAATGGAGATTTTGCCTGTCATTCTTGCTTGTTGTCTCAGTACTGGAACAGTAGCTTCTGCATAATAGGTACTTGATAAATATTTACACAAGTAATATATAAGTGAGTGATCTCATATTCAGTGTTTACTCTGAATGAAGCAATCTGCAAATTGCATGTATGATCCAATTTAGTAATTGAAATAAGACTATTAGTATTACTATTTTATGAATGAAGAAAACAGAGATGTCATGAGATTCAGTAACTTCCCCAAGGATAATACAGAAAGTTGTGAAAACTGAGCTGTTTATTCTAAATCATGTGTTCTTTTAAAAAAATTACTCAATTTTTTGAGAGGTAGACAGACAAAGAGAGGCATTTTCTCTGTTTTACTAAATAAAGAGATAATCAAAGAAAAAGCCTAGAAAACTGTGCCAATACACTAGAAATTAGGAATTGTCCATTAGCTTAATCATGGATTGGCTGCAGGGGCTGAGAATTCCAGAAAAGACTAGTCCCAGGATTTAACTCTAATTTTACCTTTTGTTTCAAATGGAGCGGATAAAGATGTGAGTAGTTTCTGAGATAATTGAGAAAGATGTTATATTAAAATATTTTTCCTGGTAATGGCAGAAATGTAAAAGCAGAAGTGGGAAAGGTCTTTTTAAGCATAATATCATTTTTAAAACACAGAAGAAATATGATAGGCTTGAGAAAATTAAAGTGTTAACATCATAATATTATAAGCTAAGTGACAAATTGGAGAAATCTTCACAATATATAAAACTGACAGGTGGCTTATAAATTTAACACATAATGAGCTCACATAAATGAACAGAAAGATGAAGACTTTCAACAGATATTTATATTTAGTCATCTTTACGTTAATGATGTTTGATTACATTGTTACAAAATTATGTTTATATAGCTTAATTTTACCATAAAAGAAACGAATGTGTTCAGTCACTAAAAAATAAACCAACTCCTAAAAGCTCAAAAGCTAGATTTAAAAATAGTTGAGAACAAGTATCAAGAGGTAGGTAACTTATTTTCACAGGTGACAAAGGTGTGACTTACCTCCAGGTGACCAGTTATAGTAGCAATGTGAAGGGCAGTGAGGCCACCATACCCAACTTGCTGTATATCAGCTCCACTGTGAAGCAGTGAAGTGATCAATTCTGCACTATCCTGTAAGGAAACACATCTTTAGTGTTACTTTTCTACTAATAGCAGGTTCGAAAGCTGTGCAACAGGATATATTGATTCTTGACTGTCAGCCAGTTTAGGTGCTCAAAGAAAACCTAAGTGTGATTTCTGGCAGAAGAGCACATTAGATAGCAGAGATCACCTCTCAGATGGTTGAAATGTAAGGCAAATGACAGACCTGTGCAGTTCCAATCAATCTTCTACCACTTGATCATGAAAAGGCAGAAAGGACATTTACCTATGGTGGAGCTCTCGCAAGCCCAAGCCAATTTGATATAGGTCACTCCAATAAATAGACTTTCTCCAGAAACTAACATTAAACCCGAAAGAAGTCAGGAATTTATAGAAGTAGTTTGAAAATTTATTTTTTGTTTTTGAGAGATGCAAAGAAACATAACATCTAAGAATAATATGAACCAATTATTGAATAAATTATAGCTCAGTAGACTGCTTCCTGGTAGCTCAGTAATTGCATCTTTTAGAATACATACTATGATGGGCCCTAGGCATAATTAATTAGTAGTATATTTTTGATTCATTTTAACAGTAAAAATGTTTGAACCACAGTGAAAATGTTTGAACCACTCTTTATTCAAACTTGATCCTTCAAGTCTGAATAATTTATGCAGCAATCAAAGTAATTCTTACTTTCTTCATATTATTTGTACTATATTTATGTCTTGAAGAGACATGAAAAATATATTAATAGCAATTAACATGCATTGAATTTCATTATGTAAATAACTGATTAATCCAAAAATATTTATTTATCAATAAACAGTAAAAAGAAAAATCAAAATTAAGTCTTAAAATCTTACAAAATCATTTAAATCATTATTTTATAATTGGAACACTTAAAAGAATGATGTCAAAGGTCACAACTTCATAAAACTCCATATGTGGAAAGGGATAAAGTTCTCAATGTATAACACTGTCCCTTCAAGGGAAAATTCATATTACAACTCCTATAATTCTTGGTTCATCAATACACCATTTGCAAGAAAGTGAAATCTTAATGGACTAGACCATTGAAATGTATTGTATATCAATAATTTCAAAAATTGTTGGTGAAAAAATTGTCCATTAAAAACAAAGCTTGATTTACTTCTTTGTTTCTTCCTTCCAGCCTCCCTTACTTTTTCCTTCCATCATTTCTTCCTTCCTTTCATAATGAAAAGGCCCAAGGGCTCCCTAATATCTCCCCATTTTTTTTTTAAAGATTTATTTATGTATTTGAAAGGCAGAATTGTAGAGACAGAAGGAGAGATAGAAAAAGAGAGAGAGCAAATGAGAGCTCTTTCATTCACTGGTTCACTCCAAAAATGGCCACAACAGCCAGGCAGGGTTGGGCCTGATCTAAGCCAGGAGCCTGGAAATCCATCTGACTTTCTCACATGGGTTACAGGGGCCCAAGCTCTTGGCCCATCTTCTGCTGCCTTCCCAAGTGCAACGCAGGGAGCTGCATTGGAAATAGAGCAGCTAGGACTTGAACTGGTGCTAGTCTCCTCTATCCACCTGATTTACCAAAAAAGTTAAAAGAAACTGAATCTTTACATTCTGAATGGGCTCCTTCTTCCCACTCTATAACTTGATTCTATCCTTGTATTTCCCTTTCCAAACTTCTAGAAAAAAGCTATTGATACTTGTGGGGAGCAACTCGGACTAGACTAAGTTACTGGAATTAAGACTTATTCTATGCATCTGCTCTCCCACAATATGGTGCTGGGAGAGGAGAAAATAGCTTCTGCCCAGCTGCCTCCAGTTCAACCAATAAACAGCAGGACCTGCTCCTGATTGGAGGAGAGCAGCGTGCTCGGCGTGTGGGCAGCCGAGTTGGGATTGGCGGAGGAGGACTATAAAGGAGGAGAGAGACAGCATGCACCAGGAACATCTAAGGGGAACATCTAAGGGGAACACCTGTGCAGCCCCCGAGAGAGCCGGCCGGCAGTGTGCCACTCCCCTGCGGAAGTGGGGAATATGGCCAGGGGGAACCGCCCTTCCACGGAGGTGGAAGGGATGGTAGCCAACCCGGGAAGAACCAGCAGCAAACCCGGGGAGGGCCGAGCAGACGAAAGAACAGCGCAGGGTTCAGTGTTGCTCCTCCACGAAGAGGGGGAGCAACATAATGGTGCCGTGACTCGGATAGGAAACCTAGGACGGATAGGAAACCTAGTAGGGAAGAAGCAGGAAAATACCGGAGAGAGAGACTAGCAAAGAGCCTAGGTGCCAGAAGAAGCTATTGAAAGCCTAGGCATAGACTCGGATACGGACTGTGGGAAAGAAGTTAGGATTTAAAGTGAAAGCAAGAAGAAACTTAGACTCAGATACGGACTGCAGGTTGAAAGTGAAAGTGAAACCTATAAGAAACTTAGACTTGGATACGGACTGTGGGGAGAGGCCAGGAGAAATGAGGGAGGAATATTGTTGGAAGAAAACTTAGGGAAACATACCGGGTAGAGAAAAATGTTAGGGAGGATGAAGCCGCGAATGCAGGCCAAGCCATCTTGGAATTCTTCAAGTCAGCCCGGGGAGCAAGAGGCGAAGATCTGGAACCAGAAGCAGAGACGTGGGCCGCCAGGTTGGAATTCGCCAGGTTAGTCCGGGGAACTTGGACTGAATGCCGGTGGTGGCGGAAACATTCGCGGAAGCCGCCGCGTGCAGAGAGAGCACGGGGCGTGAATAGATAGGGAACGCGGGGCTGGCGCGAGGCCGTGGTGCGGGCACGAAGTGCGTGGAGACTGCGGAGTGTGCGCGCGAAGCTGAGCCGTGCAGAGCCGGGAGCCCGCCGGCGGGGTGAGGCGCCGGGAAGCTGCGCAGAGCTGTGAAGCTGCCGTGGGGCGAGCCGCCGAGAAGCAGCCTCGGGGCGGGCGCCGGGAAGCCGCGAAGATAAGAGAAACAGAAGTTTAGAAGTAAAATGAGAGAAATAGGAATGTTGGCAGACAGAAGTAAAATGGGAGAAATAGGAATGCCCGGATATAGAGAAATAGAGAAATAGAAAGGCCTCCCCACAATACTGCAATGAGAGAGCTTGGATTCGGTCTGCCTGATTAGTGAGGCGATGAGCACCTGCGGGCGGCTAGCAGCTTATGTGCCGCAGGTCACCGAAGACAGGCACGTTATCAACACCAATAAGTCACCCCACAACATGGCAATGAGAGAGCTTGGATTCGGTCTGCCTGATTAGGGCGGTAAGCACCAACAGACGGCTCAACCAGAGTATGAGCTGCAGGTCACCGAAGATAGGCACGAATCAACACCAATAAGCCTCCCCACAATATGGCGCTGAGAAGGCTTGGATTCGGTTTGCCTGATAGGTTTTGTAAGCACCTGCAGGCAGTTCTAGCAGAGTAGAGCATGCGCTGCAGGGCACCGAACACAGGCATGCATCAGTGCCTAGAAACCTCCTCACAACATGGCGAAGAGAGGACCCGGATTCGGTTTGCCTGATTGATAGGACTTGTAAGAACCTGTGGCAACTCTAGCAAGCAGAGCAGAGTGTGTGCCGCGGGGCACCGAAGACAGGCGCATATCAACGCCAAAAAATAAAAAGAAAGGGGGATCTGTGGGGAGCAACTCGGACTAGACTAAGTTACTGGAATTAAGACTTATTCTATGCATCTGCTCTCCCACAATATGGCGCTGGGAGAGGAGAAAATAGCTTCTGCCCAGCTGCCTCCAGTTCAACCAATAAACAGCAGGACCTGCTCCTGATTGGAGGAGAGCAGCATGCTCGGCGTGTGGGCAGCCGAGTTGGGATTGGCGGAGGAGGACTATAAAGGAGGAGAGAGACGGCATGCACCAGGAACATCTAAGGGGAACATCTAAGGGGAACACCTGTGCAGCCCCCGAGAGAGCCGGCCGGCAGTGTGCCACTCCCCTGCGGAAGTGGGGAATGTGGCCAGGGGGAACCGCCCTTCCACAGAGGTGGAAGGGACAGTAGCCAACCCGGGAAGAACCAGCAGCAAACCCGGGGAGGGCCAAGCAGACAAAATAACAGCGCAGGATCCTGTGTCGTTCCTCCACGAAGAGGGGGAGCGACAATACTACTGACAGTTCTCACATCATTTCTTTAATTATCATTGGTTAGATGTCTCACAACAATCTCAACTGAATTCATAACACATAACGCATGTTAATTAGCCTTGCTTTTTTTCATGTCACCCCATACTAAGATATCTGCTCCCCTCTCCTTTTGGCCTCATGTTATTAGGAGGAGTCACCATGTGTTTCTTCCACTCAGGGCATTAAGGACCATGCCATTCTCCTAAAATCACCTCTTCAGCTTCAGAAGATAAACTAATTACCAAATCCATTTCATATTATGATCATCCTACTCATCTCTATAGTTGGATTACTCCTTTCTTGTTGAAAACTTTTTTTTGTTTTCATAAAACCATATATTCTTAGTTCACTTCATTTCTCTTCTTTCTTTTCATCTCCTAAATGTTTATTATTTGGGAACTGAGCCCTACAACATTCTTTCATTCTAAATGCTACCTTTGGTAATTCCAACACAACCTGACAACTTCATCTTTCGTTTTGATTTCTCTGCCAAGTTAGAAATCCATATACTTTGCCTACTAATAGCACCTCAAGTTCAAAATTGCTTTTGTAAATACCATTCATAATTTTCCCAGCCTGAGTTGTCATTTCCTTATTTATATTAATGACATGTTCTTGTTCCAAGTGGCCTAAAGTCCTTTTAACTCAGTCAGTTTCAGAATTCCATTGATAATTCTCACAACTCTTCTCTTTACTTCCAACACCAGCCATCAAATTACTTAGCTTCCTAACTAGTCTCCTTGACATGTCATTTCTCAATGTGGCCATTGTCCACACTGTTGTCAGACAAATATTCCTATACCCAGCTTTGATCACACCATTTCCCTTTTCAATAAACCTTATATGAAAAAGCAATACTTATTGTGCACATATGGTATAACAGACATTGTTGTAAGTAGTGGGGACACCACAGTAAGACA